GGATGAACTGGGAGTTACTGGGATGAACTGGGGCCGCACTCACCTTCCCAGAGCAGCCACGAGGAACTGGAACTGGAGGGGGCGGGGCCAAGGGAAAGCGGCGGGGAACTGGGGGGAGGGACTGGGACATACTGGGAGGGACTGGGATGGACTGGGAGGGGACTGGGGGGGACTGGGGGGGACTGGGAGGGACTGGGGGGAGCTGGGAGCACTGGGGAAGGACGCTGGGGGGTACTGGGGGGAACTGGGGTTGTACTGGGACATACTGGGAATGGCACTGGGATAGACTGGGACATACTGAGAATGGCACTGGGATGAACTGGGACATACTGGGAATGGCACTGGGACAGACTGGGACATACTGGGGATGGCACTGGGACAGACTGGGACATACTGGGAATGGCACTGGGATGAACTGGGACATACTGGGAATGGCACTGGGATGAACTGGGACATACTGGGAATGGCACTGGGATGAACTGGGACATACTGGGAATGGCACTGGGATAGACTGGGACATACTGGGAATGGCACTGGGATAGACTGGGACATACTGGGAGACACTGGGAGCACTGGGGAAGGACACTGGGGGTACTGGAAGGGACTGGGATGAACTGGGACATACTGGGAATGGCACTGGGATGAACTGGGACGTGCTGGGAATGGCACTGGGATGAACTGGGCTGTACTGGGATTGGCACTAGAATGAACTGGGACATACTGGGAATGGCACTGGGATGAACTGGGACATACTGGGAGACGCTGGGAGCACTCGGGAAGGACACTGGGGATTACTGGAAGGGACTGGGATGAACTGGGCTGTACTGGGGGTTACTGGAAGGGACTGGGATGAACTGGGCTATACTGGGACGTACCGGGGTTGTACGGGGAGGGATTGGGGCGGGAACGAACGCGCTGTTGCCGCCTCTCATTGGCTGAAGCTCCCGCCCGTCACTGCACTCAGCCAATCAGCAGCCAGGCTCGGTGCCTGGGGGGCGGAGCCTGGGGTGATTTCAGACTACAGTTCCCGTCATGCCCCGCGCCCCTCAGAGCCCCCGGTACCCCAACCCTGAGGGCCGCGACCCCCCGGGACCCTCCGAGATCCACCCGGGACCCCTCCCCGGGACCCCCGAACCTCCTCAGACCCACAGCCACCCCCAAACCACGCGGCTTTGCTCTGAGGCCACTTTGGGGCCCGCACGGACCTCAGGTAAAACCGGGACTTCAGCCCCCGCCTCATCCCGGCCGGGCCTTCCTCCTCCATCACCGCCCTCACGAAGCGCTCTGCTCACAAAAAACCCCAAAAAACCCCCAAAAAACACAAAAAAACCCCAAAAAACCCCGGCAGAGCTCCACAAGCACCCCCCGAGGGCTTCCCCACCCCACAGGAACCCCCAAATCCTCTCTATGGAACCACAAATGCTCCCCCAGACCCCCAAATTGTCCCACAGAATCCCTAAAACCCTCCCGGCTCCCCCAAATGTCCTCCGAAATTCTCTAAATTCCCTCTCCAGACCCAAAACTGCCCCAAAAACAGGACCAAGAACTCCAAATTTATTTGGGCAGCAGAACCCGGAGACCCTCGGCCACGCCATCCTTTAATATTTCAATTTTCCTCCTCTTTAAAACCCTTCGTTTCATCCTTTTGCAGAGTTCATCCACGCTGGGATTTTATATTATTTCGCCTCCTTCTTCCTCCTCTCGGGGTCATTTTGGGGGGTCTCGGGGTCATTTTGGGGGTCTCGGGGTCATTTTGGGATCACTCCGGGGGTCTTGGGGTCACTCCAGAGGTCATTTTGGGGGTCTCGGGGTCATTTCGGGGTCATTTTGGGGTCATTTCAGGGATCTCGGGGTCACTCCGGGGGTCTCGGGGTCATTTTGGGGGTCTTGGAGTCATTTCGGGGTCACTCCGGGGGTCACTCCCGGGGTAATTTCGGGGGTCTCGGAGTCATTTTGGGGTCACTCCGGGGGTCTCAGGGTCATTTCGGGGTCATTTTGGGGGTCTCGGGGTCATTCCCGGGGTCACTCCGAGGGTCTCGGGGTCACTACGGGGGTCTCGGGGTCACTCCCGGGGTAATTTCGGGGGTCTCGGAGTAATTTTGGGGTCACTCCGGGGGTCTCGGGGTCACTCCGGGGCCATCCCGGGGGTCTCGGGGTCATCCCGGGGATCATTTCGGGGGTCTCGGAGTCATTTTGGGGTCACTCCAGGGGTCTCGGGGTCTCTCTCGGGGTCATTTCGGGTCCATCCCGGGAGTCTCGGGCCGAGGATTTTTGGGGTCCCTCAGAGCAGGGTCCGGCCTCGCTGCGTTAACAGAACCCCAAAGCGCCGCTTCAGAGCCAGGCGATGTCGGGAGAATTTATCATCGGGGGAGAAGCGGGCGGGGTGTGCCGAGCGTGTGGGGATCCCGTCCGGGGACACTTTCTGCGAGGGGACAGAGCGTGAGGGAAACACCGAGACCACCCCGAACTCCCCCTCCTCACGGCACCCAAAACCGCCGCGTGCCGCTGGCAAACCCCACCCCGCACACCCAAAAATCCCCAGCCCCTCCAAACATCCCCTCTAAACATCCCCGAACACCCCCAAAATCGCTGCGAGGCGCAGCCCCGTACCCGCAGGGTGTAAACGCGCTCCCCGCGCTCGTTGGTGTAGCACTGCAGGAACATGGCGGCGGCAGCCGGGACCGGAAATGGAGCGGGCGAGTAACGGGAGGGGCGGGGCTTAGAGCGGAAATCGACGAGATGGGTGATGGGAAATGTAGTCCCGGAAATGAGCGGAGAATAACGGTTAACCCATGGGGATGCGATGGGGCGCAGGGGGGGAAATTTGGGGCAAAAACGGGAGATTTGGGATGAAAAACGGGACATTTGGGATGAAAAACGGGAGATTTGGGATTAAAAACGGGAGTTTTGTTCAGGAAAAACGGGAGATTTGGGATAAAAAACGGGAGTTTTGGGATTAAAAACGGGAGATTTGGGGTTAAAAACGGGAGTTTGGGCCAGGAAAAACGGGAGATTTGGGATGGAAAACGGGAGATTTGGGATTAAAAACGGGAGATTTGGGATGATAAACGGGAGATTTGGGATTAAAAACGTGAGTTTGGGATTAAAAACGGGAGATTTGGGGTTAAAAACGGGAGTTTGGGCCAGGAAAAACGGGAGATTTGGGATGATAAACGGGCGTTTTGGGATTAAAAACGGGAGATTTGTGATGGAAAACGGGAGATTTGGGATTAAAAACGGGAGATTTGGGCCAGGAAAAACGGGAGATTTGGGATGGAAAACGGGAGATTTGGGCCATTAAAAACAGGAGATTTGGGATGAAAACAGGAGATTTGGGATGGAAAACGGGAGTTTTGTCCAGGAAAAAAGGGAGTTTGGGATGGAAAACGGGAGATTTGGGATTAAAAACAGGAGATTTGGCCAGGAAAAACGGGAGAGTTGGGATGAAAAACGGGAGTTTGGGATGGAAAACGGGAGATTTGGGATGGAAAATGGGAGACTGGGATGAAAATCGGGAGTTTTGTCCAGGAAAAAAGGGAGTTTGGGATGGGAAACGGGAGATTTGGGCCAGGAAAAACGGGAGATTTGGGATTAAAAACGGGAGATTTGGGATGAAAAACGGGAGATTTGGGATGGAAAACGGGAGTTTGGGATGGAAAACAGGAGATTTGGGCCAGGAAAAACGGGAGTTTGGGATGGAAAACGGGAGATTTGGGCCAGGAAAAACAGGAGATTTGGGATTAAAAACGGGAGATTTGGGATGAAAAATGGGAGATTTGGGATGGAAAATGGGAGATTGGGATGGAAAACGGGAGATTTAGGATGAAAAATGGGAGATTTGGGATGAAAAACGGGAGATTTGGGATGAAAATTGGGAGTTTTGTCCAGGAAAAGCGGGAGTTTGGGATGGAAAACATGAGTTTGGGATGGAAAACGGGAGATTTGGGCCAGGAAAACCGGGAGATTTGGGGTTAAAAACGGGAGATTTGGGATGGAAAATGGGAGATTTGGGGTTAAAAACGGGATTTTGTGCCAGAAAAAACGTGAGTTTGGGATGGATGCTAAGTGCAAGCAGCAATCACGGTGCCTGTGGAATAGCAAACTGTAATTTTCTCGTTCCCACCTGAGAAAGCCTCCTGGGAAATCATAAAGAGGAATTAAAACAATCCTCAGAGACAGCAAACAGCCTCTGGACAGTTAGGAACAACCCCCTCTGACCGTTTCTTTCTTGCAAGGAAACAAGGATCCAAACAACACCTGCCAAGGCTGTTTTCCTTCCCCAAGGACTGTTTGGATTCCTCCTTAGGATTTCTCAGGCCAGAGTGAGAACCTTGTGGGACTGAGTTTCACACTAAAAATCTCTTCTTTGACCACTGCCAGTTCCCATCGAGTTGATGCAATAGAAATGGGATGTAAAGGGTGCTTCCAAAACCTTTTAACCCTTTGCTTTATTGCCTTTGTCGCCTGACTTTTTTATTAAACCTTCTAAAACTGAGCAGGAAAATTGATCATCGTCTTTCCCAGTGGTCCAGCTCTGTATAAAAGATTGCCCAAATATGTCAGCTCTCAAGAAAATGTCCCAGATTGATGTTTCCCATGCTGGTGACTCTTTAAACACAGCCTGCTGCCCCAGCTCTCTGCTGCTGTTCCATGGACAGAGGTCTTGTCAGCATTACAAGGTACAAGGAGCTGTGTGCACTATGATAGAAAAGGGTAAAATGAGTAAGGGTAAAAAAAGGGTAAAACAAAGATCCTCTTCAAGGTCTTTTTTATGTCCATTTACCCAATTAACAGATGCCAACTAAATTATTTTTCTTAGTGACCCAATGACCCAACACCTGTGCGCTGCACTGCAGCATTTTTTACCCAATCACTTACTACTACCCAAAAACCCCTCGGAGAAGAACATGAAGAAGAAAGAAGAAGGACAAGAGACAACACCCTAAATCCCCCACCTTGTCTCCTGTTCTCTAAACTACTTTTTCACACAGTGATTTAAGAAACTTTCTAATCTACACACTTACACTTTTCCTATCTAACTTTAACATTTGTTTTCACGTATCACCATGAAAACATGCTCATGAATTCCATGTCATATGAAATTCAGTGTTTCTTTGAATCCTAGAACTAAGTATTAGAAACAAGGGCACACACTCTGTATCTCAGACTCCAACGATTGTGCGCTGTGTTTGTATCCACTAGCACTTCTTTGGGTTATCCTGTGGAGGAAGCAGTCTGTTTAAAGTCTCTTGTCTGTTAATCTTGAGTCCATTCAGTAAATAATTCATTTTCTAATAAACCTAATCAGCCATTGTAAAGAACTTGGGAGCAAGAGCAATTTGGGGTGCAGGTGGCCTGAAACAGAGCTCCTGCCAGAAACCTGAGCATAGGCAGGACTTGGCTAAACTTTCACTCCATTTGTAACAACACATCTCATTAAAAAAATACAGAGAGAGATTTTTTGCCCATTTATTCTTTTCCTGTTTATGCACTTGTGAAAAACGAGGTTCAGATAATTTTTATAGAATTTAAAAGTTTAATAAAAAAGACAATTAAGAGAAAAAAATAAAGTACACAGATAGGGCCGGGTGTCTCTGCATTCACCTTACTAACAAAGGATTGTCCCTTAAAAACAGAACCCTACCACATATCCATAAATTCTCATCCATATTCATACACTCTCATCCATATTCATACATTCTTCTTAGGATCTTTGGTGTTCTTCTGTTTAGTTTTCTCTTGCCCCCTTCCCAATAGATCAATCTTCTTGGCACCATCGAGATTTACATTCTCTGATGCCAGAAATGCAATAAATTCCTCCCCCCCAGAGTTCTGGTCACTGTTGTCTTCATCTGGATAAGAGAGTTTACAAATGCAGGAGTTCTCCAGCTATTTCCTTTTTTTTCTCAGTCTTTGGGTTATACAAACAAAAGCAGTTTTTATTTTAATGCTATGCCATAACCTAACATATATGTATTATACCACTATTCCTAAATTTCATCAATAACAGAAATAAAGAAAACAATATTAATTCTTATACACATAACATTCATTTTAATATTTGTGAAAAGCCAACAACATAAAACGTATCTATAACACACTGTACACTGTGGAACCTCACGGAACCAAAAGTCCATTGTGACAGAGCGAGGCCTCGTGGAACCAAGCAGTGCAAAGGTCCAGAACATTCCTTGCAGGGTTCTGCCCTAGGGCACGGGAACCTCATTGGTGGCACCTTGGGCTTGGCACACACTTGACGAGTGTGTCTGCTCTCAGTGTTGGAGTCTGAGATACAGAGTGTGTGCCCTTGTTTCTAATGCTTAGTTCTAGGATTCAAAGAAACACTGAATTTCATATGACATGGAATTCATGAGCATGTTTTCATGGTGATACGTGAAAACAAATGTTAAAGTTAGATAGGAAAAGTGTAAGTGTGTAGATTAGAAAGTTTCTTAAATCACTGGGTGAAAAAGTAGTTTAGAGAACAGGAGAAAAGGTGGAGGATTTAGGGTGTTGTCTCTTGTCCTTCTTCTTTCTCCTTCATGTTCTTCTCCGAGGGGTTTTTGGGTAGTAGTAAGTGATTGGGTAAAAAATGCTGCAGTGCAGCGCACAGGTGTTGGGTCATTGGGTCACTAAGAAAAATAATATACGTGTCCGTTGTTAATCGGGTAAAAATAGGTTTAAAGATAAAAGAACTGCGTAGTTCGGTGCCATTTTGTGCACCAGACACCAAGTGAGCCACAAGGCCTTGTTTGTACCATCAGAAGAAAGAAATGTACCAGATTGCAAAGGTTAACCTTGTGCAGCCAGCCTGGAGAGACCTGTTAAGTTTTGTGTTGACCTGTTAATAAACACGAGAAACAAGATTCTAACGAGCTCGGGAGTTTTCTTCAAATAATAACTGAGATAAGCAGAGCTCCCCACGAGGGAGGATCCCAAAAGAATTCAGTCCAAAGGAGGCTGAGAAATCCAAGAATAAAAAGAAAAATACAGAAGAGATGCAGCAGAAACAGAGAAACAGAAAAAGGACTTTTCAGAGAAAAGTTACACTCAGCAGGAAAACTTGGGAGTTTTCCACGGCTTCAAAGGAAAGGAAAAGGAGAAAACCCCTCTTTGCCTGAGTGCAGCCAGTTCTCTGTGGGAGTTGGGCAGTCAGAGTTCAGGATTGATTGAAGGCAGTGGGAAACATCGAGTGAGGTTCTGGCAAAGAGAACAGGACTGTGGGTAGAGTTATGTTAATCTGTTAGTTCTGTATAAGGTTATGTTTGGAGTTCTCGTTAACGATTGGATAAGGATGTTTGACGTATATGGTAGTGTTTGTGGCTCTCCTTCATGATTGGTTACTTGTGTAACATATATATGTTGTGATTTGTGACCCGTTGCCTTCTGAGGTTGGCCCCCTACCGTGTACGACTTCCACCCTTTGTTATTTTATGCGTTATTAAAGTTCTTTATTTCCGGGCAGCCCAGTCACGCCCGTCCTTATTCTTTGCCTCACAACTCCCGGCTGGTCCGGTCCTGAGGTCACCAACGCTGCACTGCAACAGTTCTGCAAGCAAAGCAGGTCCCAGGGTGTCCTGATGGGACACTTGTGCTTGGCTTCTTTTTCCCCCTGGGACTGAGACTGATGAGAGAGAGGCAGTTTTCTCTTGTTCGGACTCAGTTGTTTATTCTTCTTTTATCTGCATTAC